AGACAAAACAAACTTTAAAGCAACAACAGTAAAAAAAGAAAAAGAGAGACATTATATAATGATAAAAGGAATAGTCCAAAAGGAAAATATTGCAATTCTAAATATATATGCATATATACACGGAGCTCTCAAATTTAGAAAACAATTACTATTAGACCTAAGAAATGAGATGCACAGCAACACAATAATAGTGGGAGACTTCAATACTCCATTGACAGCACTAGACAGGTCGTCAATACAGAAAGTCAACAAAGAAACAATGAACTTAAACTATACCCTGGAACAAATGGACTTAACAGGTATTTACAGAACATTCTACCCAACAACTGCAGAATATAAATTCTTTTCTTCAGCACATGGAACAGCCTCTCAGACTGAACATATGATAGGACACAAAACGAGTCTCAATAAATTTAAGAAAATCAGATTTATATGAAGTATCTTTTTTTTTTTTTTTTTTTTGAGATGGAGTCTCGCTCTGCCACCCAGGCTGGAGTGCTGTGGCATGATCTTGGCTCACTGCAAGCTCTGCCTATTGGGTTCACGCCATTCTCTTGCCTCAGCCTCCTGAGTGGCTGGGACTACAGGCACCTGCCACCACGCCCGGATAATTTCTTGTATTTTCAGTAGAGATGGGGTTTCACCATTTTAGCCACGATGGTCTCGATCTCCTGACGTCATGATCCGCCCACCTCGGTCTCCCAAAGGGCTGGGATTACAGGCGTGAGCCACCACGCCTAGCCTCAAGTATCTTCTTAAACTGCAGTGGAACAAAACTGGAAATTATCTCCAAAAGGAACCCTCAAAACTCTAAAAATACATGGACGTTAAATAATCTGCTCTTGAGGCTGGGTGCGGTGGCTCATTGCTGTAATTCCAGCACTTTGGGAGGCAAAGACAGGTGGATCACTTGAGGTCAGGAGTTCAAAATCAGCCTGGCCAACATAGTGAAACCCTGTCTCTACTAAAAATACAAAAATTAAGGCTGTGCGCGGTGCCTCATGCCTGTAATCCCAGCACTTTGGGATGCTGAGGCGCACAGATCACCTGAGGTCAGGAGTTCAAGACCAGCCTGGCCAACATGGTGAAAACTTTTCTCTACTAAAAATACAAAAAAATTAGCCAGGCGTGGTAGCAGACGCCTGTAATCCCAGCTACTTGGGAGTATGAGGCACGAGAATCGCTTGAACCCGGGAGGTGGAGGTTGCAGTGAACAGAGATTGTGCCACTGCACTCCAGCCTGGGCAACAGAGTCAGACTCTGTCTCAAAAAAAAAAAAAATAATAATAAAAATAAGCCGGGCATTGTGGCACATGCCTGTATTCCCAGCTACTTGGGAGGCTGAGGCAGGAGAACTGCTTGAACCCGGGGAGCAGAGGTTGCAGTGAGCCGAGATCATGCCACTGTACTCTAGCCTGAGCAACAGAGCAAGATTCCATCTCAAAAAAATTTAATCATCATCATCATCATCATCATCATCATCATCATCATCTACTCTTGAATGATCTTTGGGTCAACAATGAAATCAAGATGGAAATTAAAAACTTCTTTGAACTGAGAGATAATAGTGAAACAACTTATCAAAACCTCTGCGACACACCAAAAGTAGTATTAAAAGAAAAGTTCATAGCATTTAATGCCTACATCAGAAAGTTTGAAAGAGCACAAATAGACACTCTAAGATCACACCTGAAGGAACTGGAGAAACAAGAACAAACCAACCTAAACACAGCAGAAGAAAAGAAATAACAAAGATCAGAGAAGAACTAATGAAAATGAGACAAAAAATACAAAAGATAAATCAAACAAAAAGCTAGTTCTTTGAAAAGATCAACGAAATTGATAGACCACTAGCAAGATCAACCAAGAAGAGAAGAGAGAAGATCCAAATAAGCTCAATGATAAATGAAATGGGAGATATTACAACCAATACCACAGAAATATAAAAGATCATTCAAGGCTACTATGAACACCTTTACACACACAAACTAGAAAATCTAGAGGAGATGGATAAATTCCTGGAAAAATACAACCCTCTCAGATTAAATGAGGAAGACATAGAAACTCTGAACAGGCCAGTAACAAGTAGAGAGATTAAAACAGTAATTTTTAAAAATTGCCAATAGAAAAAAGTCCAAGACCAGATGGATTCACAGCTGAATTCCATTAGACAGTCAAAGAAGAATTGGTACCAATCCTATAGAACACTATTCCACAAGATATAGAAAGAGGGAATCCTCCCTAAATCATCCTATGAAGCCAGTATCACCCTAATTCCAAAGCTAGGAAAGGACATAACAAAAAATGAAAACTATAGACCAATAACCCTGATGAACATAGATGCAGAAGTCCTCAACATAATACTTGCTAACTGAATCTAACAGCGTATCAAAAAGATAATACATCATGATCAAGTGAGTTGCATACCAGGTATGCAGCAATGGTTTAACATATGCCAGTCAATAAATGTGATAGACCACATAAACAAAATTAAAAACAAAAATCATGTGATCATCTCAATAGATGCAGAAAAAGGATTTGACAAAATCCAGCATCCCGTTATGGTTAAAACCCTCAGCAAAACTGGCATAGGAGGGACACACACTTCAAGGTAATAAAAGCTATCTATGACAAACCCACAGCCAACATTATACTGAATGGGGATAGTTGAAAGCATTCCCCGAGAACTGGAACAAGACAAGAATGCCCACTTTCACTGTTTCTATTCAACATAGTACCTGAAGTCCTAGACAGAGCAATCCGACAAGAGAAACAAATAAAGGGCATCTAAATCAGTAAAGAGGAAGTAAAACTGTCACTGTTCACTGATAATATGATCATATACCTAGAAAACCCTACAGACTCATCCAAAAAGCTCCCAGATCTGATAAATGAATTCAGTAAAGTTTCTGGATACAAAATTAATGTACACAAATCAGTAGCACTGCTATACACCAACAGTGATCAAGCTGAGAAACAAATCAATAACTCAACTCCTTTTACAGTAGGAGCAAAAAACAAACAAACAAACGAAAACACCAACTTAGGAATATACCTAATCAAGGTGGTGAAAGAGTTCTACAAAGAAAACTACAAAACACTGCTGAAAGAAGTCATTGATAACACAAACAAATGGAAACACATCCCATGCTCGTGGAGAATCAATATTGTAAAAACGGCCATACTGCCAAAAGCAATATGCAAATTCAATGCAGTTCCAATCAAAGTACCATAATCATTCTTCACAGAACTAGAAAAACAGTCCTAAACTTCATATGGAAACTCAAAAGACCCCACATAGCAAGACTAAGGAAAAGGAACAAATTTGGAGGCATCACATTACCTGACTTCAAACTATACTACAAGATTATAGTTATCAAAACAGCATGGTACTGATACGAAAATAGGCACATAGACCAATGAAACAGAATAGAGAACCCAGAAATGAAGCCAAATACTTATAGCAAACTGATTTTTGACAGAGCAAAGAAAAACATAAAGTAGGGAAAGGACACCTTACTCAACAAATGGCGCTGGGATAATTGGGAAGCCACATGTAGAAGAATGAAACTGGATCCTCATCTCTCACCTTACATAAAAATCAACTCAAAATGATCAAAGACTTAAATCTAACACCTGAAACCATAAAAATTCTAGAAGATAACATTAGTAAAGCTCTTCTGAACATTGGCTTAGGCAAAGATTTCATGACCAAGAACTCAAAAGCAAATGAAACAAAAACAAGTACAAATAGATGGGACTTAATTAAACTAAAAAGCTTCTGCACAGCAAAAGAAATAATCAGCAGAGTAAACAGACAACCCACAGAGTGGGAGAAAATCTTCCCAAACGTGCATCCAACAAAGGACTAATATCCGGAATCTACAAGGAAGTCAAACAAATCAGAAAAACAAACAAACAAACAAACAAACAAACATAATCCCATCAAAAAATGGGCTAAGGACATGAATAAACAATTCTCAAAAGAATATATACAAATGCCCAATGAACATATGAAAAGATGCTCATCATCACTAATTATCAGGGAAATGCAAATTAATACCACAATGAGACACCTTATTCCTGCAAGAATGGCCGTAATTAAAAAATCAAGAAATCATACATGTTGGCATAGATGTGGTGAAAAGGGAATGTTTTCTTTTACACTGCTGGTGGGAATGTAAACTAGTACAACCACCATGGAAAACAGTACAGAGATTCCTTTTAGAACTAAAAGTATAACTACCATTTGATCCAGCTATCCAACTACTGGGTATCTATTCAGAGGAAAAGAAGTCATTATATGAAAAAGATACTTGCACACACATGTTTGTAGCAGCACAATTTGCAATTGCAAAAATATGGAACCAGCCTAAATGCCCATCGAACAACAAGTGGATAAAGAAAATGTGGTATAAATATACCAAGGAATACTACTCAGCCATAAAAAGGAACGAAATAATGGCATTCGTAGCAACCTGGATGGAGTTGGAGACCATTATTCTAAGGGAAGTAACTCAGAAATGGAAAACCAAATATCATATGTTCTCACTTTAAGTGAGAGTTAAGCTATGAGGATGAAAGTTATAAGAATGATACATTGGACTTTGGGGATTCAGGGGGAAGGATGGGAGAAGAGTGAGGAGTACACATTGGGTACAGTGTACACTGCTTGGGTGTTGGATGCACCAAAATCTCAGAAATTACTGCTAAGGAAGTTATCCATGTAATGAAAAAACCACCTGTTCCCCCAAAACTATGGAAATAAAAAAATATATAATTTATGCAAACAGATAAAATATTAGTCCTTTTTTTAGTATAATATATATAATTCTAATTTAATTATCAAAATCCTGTATTTTTATATCAATATATCTTGGTAATCCTGTTTAAATATCACTATTAAAGGTAGACTATTGAGTTTCCTTATTACTCCAAATATTCACTATACTAGATATTACTATTTGATCTCAAGAGAATGGATCCTTAAACAGACTCACTCTTCTAATGATCGATCTAGGCCTCGGTCAGGAGATCGATGGTGAGCACGTTCTGGTGAATGACATTTTGTATTTGGCTTCATTGTAGAACTCATATGATAAGCATTACTTGAATAATTTTGGCGGCGAAGTTCTTGTACGGCCCTCTCCCTAAAGCAAAATAGTGATGCTTTAAAATTTTATAACCAGCAAAAGTATTAAAACTATCATAAAAAAACTGTAGCTTAATTCATACTTTAACCATCATGAAAGAACTAAAACCTATTTTTACCTAAGAAACAATGCTTTCCATGCCGAAAAGCATTGTTTTTGAGCTTGCATAGAGATAAACTTACCTTTCAAAGCGCTCTGTTCCTAGTTGTCTTTTGGTAATGTCTAAATCAGCTTCCAATTGTGTGACAACATTTCTGAACTGGGCCACATCTCTACTTTGGATGGCCCTGTTTAAAAGAAGGTAAGAGTTATAGTTGACTAAACTTAAAATATGACTATGATTCTGGGGTACATTAAACCATATTGATAGTGGTTTCTCAGCTGGATCCAAATCACATTGTGATTTTTATGGCCAGATTTATTAGTACATCTAAAATATGCCCATGTTAGACGTGGTAAGTATGCAGAGTAGCCTACTTGAAAAGCCTAAGCAATCCCAGTCCCATTCAATTAGTTAATCCTTCTCTGTTTCAGTTTCCCTGTGGAAACATATTATACATCAACTGTCTATACTATATACTATAAATAGCTTTTAATGTAAGTACTTAGAAGTATTATATAAAGTAGTAGTATGACCAAATAATTAACACTGGAATTCACTAGCTCCATGATTAATATAGTCTGTTTTATATAATCTATTCAACCAAGTGCCTTATAATGAAATTTGATATATACAATCTTCAATGTAATAGAATCTTTCTTAAGGCCAAACAATGCCTCACAAAACCTGTGATAAGGCACAATATCATAAGGAAGATAAACATTGATGAATGCCACTCACACAGAACATTCTATCCTCTTCACTTGCTTTCAGGAGAGTATCATAGACTGCTGAAATCTAAACTTTAGAGACTAATAACAAACATTTCTCATGCTAATTCTAAGTGTTAGTATTTACCAGTCAGTCTCAAACAGAGTATAGCCCTTAGTGTGGAAGTTTTGGCGTATTTCATGAAGGTAGATTTCCACCTACCATCTTGAGAAAGTGATCCTGCAAAACTAGTTGAAGGAATCATAATAGCCTAGCTACGGTAACGGAAAAGAAGGACTCAGTCACCACCACCATAACCTGAAAACAGTTTCTGAAGGAAACTGGCCTTGGTTCTGAAGCCCTTGCCTAGTCAGGGGCTCCTAGGAGTGGCTGATTGCCGAGACCATGCTTCTTATCCTTCCCCATGCCCTGAGCTCAGATGTGAGGATAGAGTGGAGGCTGGATGAAAAGTGTTATAGATGGGACAGGTAAGAACAGGGGTTAAGGGTCCCCTATCAGTTTTTATGAGAGGTGACCAAGTTTCATAGAAAAAAATTCACTATATAGGGAGGCATTTCCACCCAATTCTCCAGCCAAAGTTCTTTTAATAACGTGCTAGGAGTGCTAGATATCCTTAAAAAAAAAAAAAAGAAAGAAAGAAAGAAAGAAAAAGAAAAGAAGCCAAAATTGATGTCCTAGGAAGTCTTCTGTATTTTGTGCATGCAGGTGTTCTTCTAGGTACCCAGGTACACGCAATAGGTACAAAAGAAAATACAATGTGGCAAATGAAAACACTAGGCTGCAATATATTGGTCTAAATATGAAAATTCTTCTGGTTTCAAACTGGTTAATTTTTTTTCTCATTTTGTTATATTTCCTAAAGGCAGTATTTTAGACCAGACATTCTATTATACTCAAAACCCTGTTGGAAAGAATCAATAGAGATCATTAAACTTAAATTTAGATAAGAAAAACATAATAGAAAAAGTACCACCTCTTAGGCAAATCACAATATTTCTGATCCTTAGTTTAATGACAAATTATAGGAGGCAAATTCTCTAAATTCTAGCTTAAAAATCCTACTAACCTATAAAGTACCAAAAAATTCAGATGTATGACTTTATATTGCTAAACAACTCACATTTTATTTTCTGCCAAACAAAGGTGTTCTTTAAGAAGCTGAATTTCAGATTCTTTTTCTTGAAGTGCTATCTGAGACTGATATTCTTTGTCTCGATTGGCCACCAGCAAAGCTTCTAGATTCTGCATGGAGATTCTCTCATTTGTCATCTGACTCCTCAGGAGTTCAATTTCAGAACGAGCAGAATCTAACTCATTCTCCATCTGTAGAAGAAGAAGAAGATATCTATACTTATTCCCATTAATTCACTTAACTATTATATTATCAGGGACTCACAAAATTTTCATAATCTGTTATCAACTGGCAACTACTTTTAATGTGATTTGAAATTGTATCCCTCCTTCTTACCAAATAAACACACCACACATGTATGTATAGTATCACTTTCCCCATCTCTTTGATCATATCAGAAAATTCATTAATTTAAGAAAAGGCTTATTAATTTCAAACTGCAACCAGTTTCCACTACCAGCTTTGATATTTCTTTATATACTCCTGCAAGACTGACAGGATATCTGTGAGCACTGCTTTCTCCTGAGTTAGGTGAGCTACATACTT